ATGACAAAAACCTTTATCAGCTCACGATCGCATTGTTATGAAAACTGTGTGAGGTAATAATCATGCATAAGTCTTGCTATTATTTTGCAAATCACTTCTAACATCTGTTCGTTTGCGAATCGACACATGGAAACTCCTAATGGCTGTTTTTCTTTATTACTGTTTTTTAAACCCTTTATGTTCTTGTCTTTCATGCTCTTATTTGTTACCATGTCAATGTCTCTCAGCTCCAGTGAAGCTTATTTTATTCTTACAGACTGCTGTGTTTGTATTATATGGACCTACGTCATAGAAATAGGCTTGGCAAATGAACTCTTCTTGTTGTTTCTTTAAGCTTACATGGCAACTGACAGGAAAGCCAAGCAACCATGGATAGAACAGAATACATAGTAGTTACTTCATCTCACCAAAAAGAAATGTACCAGGATTAAATTCATTTTATTCCCTATTGTGATGTTTTTTTCTTTTTCTTAAGACCATCTGGAAAGGTTTTACAAATTAAAATCCTGTCTCTTAATTCCGAAGGAATGAATCTTATTTAGCCTTTACAGATGCATTATTTCTGCTGTGAATTTATGTAATTGGCTGTCGAGGCATCAGAGTTGAGTCTCATGCAGGCTAACAGTGTTTTGCTGCTGCTGTGCCTCTTCACGATATTGCTACAGACAGAGAGAACGGTATTGTTAAGAGCCCTGTTTTAAAAAGCGAACTGCTGGAAGCTGCAGCCGATAAGATAAAAAATTGAAACCCAATAATTCTCAACTGGAGGTACACTTATGTTTCAGAACACAAGCTTTACAGAGAAATAACATTTTGCATTAAATTCTGAAAAGGTTAGGCTATTAGGTGGGCAAGTTTATGTTAAGGGGATATTCCATTTGATCATTTTGCAAAAATTATGGGAGCATTATACTTTAAATGTTCTGAAACAAGTAGTAACATTAGACGAAAGTACAAAAAAGTTGAACAATCTATAAATAACATTGTTCTGCTGTTTAAAACTTGAGAACATTCTTAAAGATCAGATATCTCTGAAGAATATTTGCTCATAATTTTGAGAGAACCTTGCCAGAACTTTAGATCCTGAACATTCAGAAAGTATGAGAACATTCCCTATTAGCTGTGCTGTAAAAAAAAATATTTTCATGATTTGTAATCACATTTTTTTTCTTTTGTCAAATCAACTTAGATAATTTATGTAGTTCTTTCAGATGTCCTGAACTTTTTCTAAAAGAGCATCAGATATTGTATGTCGTTTTGAATGTTGCCTATTGTCGCAACACGAATGAGGAGTTATTTGACTGGATTGTGCAATTATGTGCAATAAAACTTGTGCAATTCTCATTAGACTTCAAAATACTCTAAAATACTCTTTAAAATAATTTTTGGTCAAACAGATCAGACATAAATTTGGACTGTAAAATACTTTTATTTATGTACACTGACTTTAACAACAACATGTACACTGTAAAAAAAATTTTCTTTTGTCAAATCAACTTAAATAATTTATTTAGTTGAGATAACATAATATTTTGAGTTACTGGTGATTAAATTAATCTCCTTCTTTGTATTAACTCACTTTTTCCATGTCAATGAACTTAAAATTTTAAGGCAACCAGGTTACTTATTTTTTTTAAGTTGAACCAACAATATTTTTTTACAGTGGGCAATTGGTTAAAAGAGAGACTGTATTATTCTATAAAAATGACATAAATGTTTTGAAGGGTTATCACATGCAGACACAAATCAACATTCATTGTGTAAAGAGTGGCAATGAAGTAATAATATAAACTCATGTTTGAGTTCATGTTTTGGTTAGAAAGTGTGTTCAATTCTCAGCAGTTAAAAGGCTCTCCATATTTTGATCACCAAACACCAGGACACTCGGCCAGATACTCAAATGATACTTGAAGTTTACTCAAAGATGCCTTAATTTCAATACATTTAAAGTAGGCTATGCCTCCTCTGTATGGATAGAAAATTGTTATATTACAACAAGACAAATTCAGATAGGCTTCTCGAGGTTACTCAACATGTTTTATTATGACAGGTTTCAAAAATAATGAAGTAAATAATGAACAAAATATATTTATATCTTTAGTTTTCTTCATCTTTATCCTGTTTTTCTTCCTCATCCTTCTTGTTTGCCCATCTATATTTTGCTGCGGAGCTGATCTTTCCCAGCAGTTTTTTTTTTTGAAAACCAGGAGATTTTCATCACAAAAAACAGCCAGGACGGACAGGACGTGAAAACAGTACATGTCCTGGGAAAACAGGACTGATGGTCAACATGTCCTCCATAGCCTAAGCATCTCCAGTTATAAAGTTTGCAACAGTGCACTATTCTGTTTCTCTGAGTATCTGTAGATAAAAACTGTAGGCCCACATAGATACATCCTAATCATAAATTCCATTCAGCAATATGAGCAGTGATCATACACTAAACAAAACATGAAAACTCACTGCCTCCTGTCCTGAGGCACTTGAGCTAAACAGACACCGATCTGCGCATGCGTGGAAGTGTGACGTCCTGTAGCCAATCAAATCTCGCGCTCTCAATTTTAAACTTCAACCGGAAGAAACGATCATAACAAGAAAGTCACTGGAGTGTCTCGTTCCTTTTCTTTTTACTTTTTAATATCACTCTAACGTTACATCTTCAAGAAAATGGATCTTGTTAATGACGACCCGACCAAAATGTACTATTATGAGAACAGACTTCAAACATTCGTTGGGTGGCCGTTTGAAGAGGGCTGCGTTTGCACTCCAGAAAATGTGAGTGAACCAACAAGCCCAGAAATTTGTTTTGAAGCTTCTAGAAAAAGATGTTTTCCGCTTTATACATGCCGTTTTCTTTTATAGATGGCCAAAGCTGGATTTATTCACACACCGTCGGAGAATAGTCCAGATATAGCTCAGTGTTTCTTCTGTCTGAAAGAGCTGGAAGGATGGGAACCCGAGGATGACCCTGAGTGAGTCCGTGTCTTTTAACTTTCCACTACTGCATTAATTTATAAATCTGAGAGAGGCTTTGTCTCTGTAATGCAATAAGACCCGGATTTCAAGTCAGGGTTATTTGATTTAATAAATGTCATCAGCCCCCTTAATGTGCATTTTGTTCCTGATGTGCCGTGTGTTACTTGTATTATCAGGAAAGAGCATAAAACACATTCTTCCTCCTGTGATTTTATCTTGCTGAAGAAGACAGTGGACAGTCTGACTGTGGAGGAGTTTCTGAAACTTCAGAAAGAGAGACAGAAGTTTATCATTGTAAGTATGAACTCACATTTATTTAAATAGCGCTTTATGCAGCAGTACAGATTGTTACAAAGCAGCTTCACATGAATAAACAGGAAAATAACAGTGTGTTAAATGTAGTTTATGAAACGAATTCAATTTCTGCTGTAAAGCAGTTCTACAGAACATGTAATTGTTCTGCTCGATTTAGTTTGTTAGTTCAGAGTTCAATAATTGTCAATGTTGTAAAGTTCATCAATTTATGAAACACGTTCAATTCAGCTACTTCCCTTGAGTCTGTATAATACCGTAACGCAGTGGTATAGATTTGATTTTGAAATTGGTGGGGATGGGGACATTTATATCAATATATTAATATATTTTTAAAGTTTTGATCGAAATTATTGCTAGGGATATCAAAGTCACTGGATATTGGTAGGGACACGTTCCTAGCTTCCATACTAAAGTCTACCATACTAAAGTCAAATTTCCATAGCTGATAAGAGTATGAATGATAAATTGTATGAATAACATGCTTTGTAAACTTTCAGAAAAAATCATGCAGCCAGGCGATTGATAAATTTGAAGAGGCCGTGAAAGTCAAGAGAACCAAGATCATCAACACTGCAATGGGGGAGGAATGAAGAGGTTCAGTGAGGGTTATGCTGACACCATTTTGGTCCATGTCTTTTCTTTTTTTTTTTTTTTGTATGTCATACAAAATGCATTTTCTCTTTTTAAATGTTACCTGTGATAATCTTTGTCCTGTCTCTTGTTGAAGTTGATCTTATTACACACATTCTTCCTACTTTTATAGTATTTATTTATAAAAGAGCGTAATAAAAAGACTCTTTCATTCTCTGGAACATGTTTTCAGTCTCATGTCTTATTTTTTTAATCTTTTTGTCTGAAATGCTATAAAAACTGAAGTAAAAATGGCAAGTTATTGTAGCTGGAATTCTCTTGGGAAATGTTCTGGTATGGAAAAGTCAATTATTAAAGGGATACTCCACCCAAAAATAATTTTCTCAAGTTTGTTTCTTCTGCTGAACACAAAGGAAGATATTTTGAAGAACGATTGGAACCAAACAGTTGTTTGGTACCATTGACTTCCATAGTAGAAAAAAAATACTATGGAAGTCAATGGTGCCAAAGTTCCAATCATTCTTCTAAATATCTTCCTTTGTGTTCAGCAGAAGAAAGAAACTCATACAGGTTTGCAACAACTTGAGGGTGAGTAAATAATGACAGAATTTTCATTTTTGGGTGGAGTATCCCTTTAAGTTTGTTAAATACTTTGTGTTTCTCCTTAATGCTCAGCTCTGAAATATTACATGGGCTAAATTGCTTTTAGTAAAAAAAAAAGTGTGCACATCACAGCTTAAATTGATTAACCAACCCTAGCAGTGCTAATAAATTTCATTTTTTTTTTTTTGAGAAGCGGTGTGCCTTCTTTCTTTATTATTGTTTTTTGGTTGAGTATTCACTTTTAGGTGATTTCCGTGCTTTTATTTTTTATCCTAATTGTTTTTAGTGACATTTCTAAAAAAAAAAAAAAAAATCTAGACCCAGTAATTATTAATTACTGTAACAATCGTGTAAATTAAGTGTGTAAAAAATATGTATCAGTATTTTTCATTTATGATTGCAAAAAATATGGATGGACAATGTCATGAAGGGTGTTGTTGGTTATGCACTGTACGTCATGTTTCCTCTGTAGCCTACCAGTCATGCGTAATCTTGCGCTCAGTGTTATAGTTGGATTCAGACTGCACACACCGTTGAGGAATAAATGTCCAAGCCACCAACCTTTTCTCTTAAAACCACACAACTTTTCTACTATTAACACCTTGCCTGTCAGCATATGTTGTCGACATCACTTATTCCTGCGCGTGTGATTTATTCCATCAGCTCTGAGATGCTTCACCTCAGCATCTGATCGCGTCGCACAGCAAATGGCATGGTTTTCAGCTTAGTTTCTGTGTTGTCCTGAATCGGAATCGCATCTATAGTGTCTGATATGAACATTACATTCGGTTTCGTGGTCGTCAGCGGGGGCTTAACTGGTATTATTAGTTTCAGCTGTTTAGCGCTCGCCATTGCAACTGAATACTGGTACATCATTGAAGACAAGCGCGCGAACCACACTGACCCGGCGCGCAGTAACTCTGGACTTTGGGGAGTTACAGATGGTATGGCGAACATTTTTTTATTATGTCTTTTTGAGCAGCTTTCAATTAACTCTGATCGTAGTCCGATTCTTTTTTTGAATTTGAATAGATGCATTGGTAATGGGCATTTACTGGTGCGTAGGTCACTGACAGTTAGTTTGACCAATGAATTTCCAGGAATTTTCTGTCATAACTGAATAAGTAGCCATACCAATAATTTCAAAGAGATTGCACCCACCGAATAATTTCTGCACCCTGGTGATTTTTGTGTGTGTGTTTCTGGCTGTAGATGTCCAAAGTCATACAGAAAAGACTGGATATTCAGAATCAGAAAGGCAGATGGAAAGTAAGTGTTATCCTTTTTTTCCCCCTTTCTTTTCTTTTCTATTGAAACTGGTTAATGCCAATGCTCCATGTATGTTGTTTAGTCTGGAAAAAAAAAAAAAGTGTTTTCCTTTTCATAAACACTGACCATAACTCTAAAATCTGCTTGAATGTTCCAGCATGAAATATCAGGTTATAAGCTATCTGTATATTTGATGTATCACTGAGCCATGATGCATAAGATGTAAATTGGTGTTTTTATAAGCCATTTCTCATAACAGCTATAATTTACTTTCAGTCATGCATAACGTGATTGCCATCTTACTGCCTCTGAGTCTGGTGATGCTGGTGTTTGGAGGTATCTGCGGTCTCGTCAGTTCCCTAGCCAGGAGCCGGACACTCCTGATCGGATCTGCTTCATATTTCCTCCTGTGCAGTAAGTCTGACCCACTGAATGCCATGGTTCACTCAATAAACAAACATCTACTGTTTTAAAATTAAAGATACACAATGTATTAAAAGTTTGTCAGCAGAAGACACAACTTTGTATGACCGTCTGAAGAGAAGAGACATATTTTACAGGGAATAAAATGGGGGGGGGGGGGTATAATCTAAATATATGGGGGGTAAAATATAACACTATATTTTCATGGTTTCAGTGGTGGAGGCGGAGAGGTGTCCAGGGTGGCGTGGCACTAATACACACAGTGCAGTCAGTGTCATAAGTTATAGTACAGGAATGTTTAGCTAATGCTTCTAATGTGAACTAACCCTTTTGGATGACACACTATCTGCCACATTGAAGAACTCATGGTTATCACTTGTATGTCACCGTATCACACCCGTAGATTGCAAGGAATGCCTGGCAATGAATGCCTGGCAAGATGTGCTGCCTACTTTTTCAAAACACATTTCACACTGAAAGCGTGACATCAGTAGCGGACCAATCACATGCCTTAAAATCGAGAGAAACTGCGATTCACTTCTCTCGAGATAATCAGCGAGATTCATTTATGTCTTCTGTCGAAGATTAAAAGATTTAAGAATTGCATAAATGCATTTACACAGCAAGGAGAAAATATAGTGCTATATCTGTGCAAGTGAAAGTCGTGAGGCTACTTTATATAGTTGATAATATTTGTATGGGTATACAGACTCGGACATATAAGCTCACATGTAGTAATTTTTAATTCTATATCTATCGATTCCAAATCTTATTTATATTACGTATTATCTGTATATGATTATTTTCATTTAATCTAAATGTTTATTAATAATTTTTAAACTAAAATTGCTTAAAGGGATAGTTCACTTTGAAATTAATTTTTGATACGTTTTAGCTTACCTCAAAGGCATCCAAGATGTAGCTGTCTTTGTTTCCACAGTATTTTCAATTTTGATATTATTAGGTCAAACCGTTCGTCAGTCAGTCATATAATGTAGGTCTATGGTCACCACCTCAAAGAGCATGCACAGAGAAGTCCAAATTAAACATGATTTAATGACTCATAAAAGTAAGTACACATTGATGCCTGAAACACAAAATGAACGGTTTGTGTGAGAAAACTAACAGTATTTATGTCGATTTTTACCTCTTGTAACCACAGCCTCGTCCAAGTGATCTGAGGGCGCGTAACGAGGTAAAAACTATATAAATACTGTTAAGCCCCTTTCACACAGCGAGTTGATCCCAGGAAATTGCCAGAACGCCTTCTGTGTGAACGCAAACACGACCTGGGATTGCTTCTGGGAATCGGGTAATCAGTGCCGGAACGCGCGCTGTGTGAACAAAAGCCAGGACCAATGCCGTAAAGGGTGTTTCTTTAGTGATGACGCTCGTGCCATCGCGCGACTCTGTTGCTCTTAGAAGAAAGTTTGTGTTCGTCATCAACAAACAAAGGACGAACAAATACCTGCAAACTAGGGCTGCACGTTTTCAAGTTTTTCATTAACCGTTAACCGAGGCCCTTTCGGTTAATACTCTTAAGTTTAACTCTTAGTTTTCTCACACAAACCACTCATGTCCTGTTGTATTCTAGCTTTGTATTTTTTTATCAACACTTGAATGTGGGTAAGTTTCATAAAAAAAAAACATTTTGAGCAAAACGCTGCAAAAATCACATTTCACAAAATCACACCTTTGATGAACAAAATGAACGAACCTTTTTCCGAGTCATTTGGTTCATTCAACGAACGAAACGAACAAATTTACTCTGAAAAAGATTTGTTCATTTTGATGAACGAATTCAAACAGGAGAGTCACAAACGTGCGTCACAGAACAAGGCGAGCATTTGAGCTTATAAAACTTAAACTTTGTTATTTATTAAATGAGCGATCGTTTCGCTTGATAAGACCCTTATTCATCGTCTGGAATCGTTTAAAGCCCTTTGAACAGTTTGCACTGAAATTGTCTTTTGGATCTTGAACTGTTTGGTTCCCACTGAAGTCCATTATATGGAGTAAAATCCTGTAATGTTTTCATCAAAAACCTTAATTTCGTTTCGACTGAAGAAAGAAAGACATGGACATCTTGGATGACATGTGGGTGAGTAAAATATCAGCAAAAGTTTTTTTTAAAGTGAACTACTCCTTTAAAACTTGCACAGTCCTATAGCTCGTCCTGGGTCGACATTCCATTCCATAATGTTATTTTACATATGCATCTGCTAACATACTGTATGATATCACTTGTTTCTTCTGCTTCTTCACATGAAGAAGATTATATTCTTTCAGAAGGTGCCTAATACGTGGTAACCCTATTGATTAGTGCTCAGCAATTTCATCAAATCTTTTTGGGCAAACGCAAACAACATAATTAACATTCATGAGCCCAACAACAGCCTTCTTGTCATTAGTGTGACATGTCATGCATTGACAACATCCTATACACGCAAGAAGACGTGAGCAAAATAAGTCTTTTAGTTAATTTTGTTAAATAGATAAAACATTTTACACTTAAGTAACTCTCAGCATGTTCTAAGTCTCAGACAAATTAAACTTGTTTCTGAAAGACTGATGGGGTGCAACACAGGTAAACAAAGTTCAAGTTCATGCATTTGGTCGTGCAGCTCTCTGAACGACATTCAAAAACTGGAAAGCTAAAGCCATTATTTGCCAAGAGTAATTATGTCAGAGTCTTATGGGACTGAAGTTATTGCGTTTCATCGTTTTCCTCTCATGTAATTGATAGGATAATAGAGAATGTCCCCCCAGCTGTGATTGAAATCTGCAATCTTAAGGTGAAAGGGAAAGGTGAAACCAAAAAAGATCTGGCTAGATTTATGTGAAGGATAATCCAGCCTCCAGTTATTCCATGCATCAGTCTCTCATTTAAATGTGATAGTATTGCTTTTGTTCTTCAGACAGTAAACACATGTACAAGAAGAAGAAAATAAAACAGAATAACAATCCATGCTGAGTGCAACCAGAGCTCATTTCCTGAGAACCCTGCAAGAAATCCCAAAGCAACTTAAGTATCGCAGGCAGAAGAATTTAGCTTTGATCTTCGTACATGCACACACAGACAGATAGCTGGTGTGTTCTTTACCCCGACACCAAACCACATCTCACAGCCTGTCCTCTCACTATGTAAGGCATATGACTTGAATAAAGGTTTCCTTAAAGGAGCCAGCCAATGATTCCCAGTATTTACCATGTGTGGTAATAAAGAGCGCATGGCAAGAGTTTAACACGGTGAAGCTTGGAATGTAAATGAGAGGTAATTTGTGGTGGCTTCTTGATTCTTGCTTATTCGTTTTTTTTTTTTTTTTGGCATGTCCTCTATTTGTTGGACTGGTCATCAGTGAAAATGCAGATGCAATTTTGAAGGAATATTTTTACATCAGAGAATTTCACATGGACTATATTTTGTTAATGGTCATCTGCTTGTTAGATGAAAAATCAGTGCATCTATTCACTGGCTTGTGACACACTCAGTGCTATATAAAAATAATCAGTAGTTTCTGGAGAGTACAGACTGTTTGTTCTAAATGAACCGGCAAATGTAAGATCAAAAACAAGTCTGTTCCCGTCTAGACTCTCGGCCATGCTAATTAGAAAATCTCTGTTTATTGGCTCTTAATTTTATGTGCATATTATGGCTGGTGAAAATCCATTCTCATTTTGTCAGTGTTTAATTAGATGTAATTTTTGCTGCTGTGTATCCACATTCTGTTTTAATGAAGATCTGGTAATAATGGCTCACGCCTTGGAATCATCATGCGCACCAGGGTGCCACATGAAGCCAGTTTGACTTTCTCCCCATTTACATCGCTGATGCTTTTCTTAATTCTGAGAGTGCGGATGTTGTACACTATAGTTGTGTGTTTATGGCTCTGTGGTGCTTACAGTAAGAGCAGTGTTTCTCTGCGTGTCTGGGAGGAGAATGTTTTCGTATTAAGTTCTGGTTCAGTTGATGACAAAAAAAACCAAATAGTTTTTATCGGCTTAAAATATGGGTTTATCAAACTAAATCACTTATGTAATGCAAACATTATGCGAGCTGGAATAAGATCACTGGATCCAGATCATTTAGCACAAGCGCAAAATATATTAGTCATTTAAAACTGAAGCAAAAGCTTGTTAAAGATCTGAATCTGTAAAGCACCCTTGTTGTTTGCCACTTAAAGGGATAGTTCACTTTGAAATTAATTTTTTAAATGTTTTAGCTTACCTCAAGGGAATCCAAGATTTAGGTGTCTTTGTTTCCGCAGTAGTTTCAATTTTGATATTTTTAGGTCAGACCGTTCTTGTCTGTCAGTCATATAATAGAGGTCTATGGTCACCAAAGAGCATGCACAGAGAAGTCCAAATTAAACATGATTTAATGACTCGTAAATGTAAGTACACATTGATGGCCTAAGACACGAAACGAGCAGTTTTTGTGAGAAAAACAAACAGTATTTATATCGTTTTTACCTTTTGTAACCACAGACACGTCCAAGTGATCTGAAGGCACGGGTGCTTTGTGGCTGTGGTAACAAGAGGTAAAAACAACATAAATACTGTTCGTTTTCTCACACAAACCGCTCGTTTCGTGTCTTAGGCCATCAATGTGTACTTACATTCACGAGTCATTAAATCATGTTTAATTTGGACTTCTCTGTGCATGCTCTTTGAGGTGGTGACCATAGACCTCCATTATATGACTGACAGACAAGAATGGTTTGACCTAAAAATATCAAAATTTAAAAAACGGTGGAAATAACAATTTTCTATCACAATGCTCCTTTAGGGGCTCTGTAAATATAAAATCATATGGTATTATTTTAAAAAAGAAAGATAGCTCAAATGAACTTTTCAAGCTAAATATTTCACAAAAAAAGTTGTTGTAGGTACTAACTGGCAACACTTCAGAGTCTTTAAATGTATTATTCATGACTGAATATAGATAGATGTGGCAATAATAAACCCAGCCCAACCCACACGCAACAAATGTTCTGTCAACTACTTGTCATTGATTAAAAGAAATTACCAAGAAGCATAATAATAACTGGATTTTAATTTTAGATCTGCTGAATCAAGACTGATTGTTGTCGCTGAAAAAAGAACCTCTTGTAACTTCTGATAATAACAAGCTGTTGTCTAAATAAGTATGCTTAATTGGTTTTGTTTGTGAGCGTGTGCATTGATGCGTGCTTGTGCATGTGTTTTCTCAGGTCTTCTCACTCTCTCTGGGGTGAGCTTGTACATCAGGTACTCTCAGAAGGCTCTAGAAGAGACTGAAAGGCGGATGGGTCGTGAGCAAATGGCTCAAGTGTACACATCATACGGCTGGTCTATGGGCACGGCCTGGATCTCCTTTCTTCTGGAGGTGATCACTGGCCTTCTTCTACTGCTGGCTGCCAGGCTGGTGCCTTTAACTCAGTATGAAGAGTCCGTTGCTCCCATATAGAGCAGGTTCGTTGAACAACACACTCTCTGAAAAAAAGGTACAAAAGCTGTCACTGGGGCTGTACCTTTTCAAAAGGTACACTTTTGTACCCAAAGGCTGCATTTTGGTACCTTAGTGGTAAATATTATCTCATGAAATGGACATATTAGCACCTAAAATGTACAAATTGGTACCTAAAATGTACATATTACCACCTAAAATGTACATATTAGGACCTAAAATGGACATATTAACAGTTAAAATGTACATATTAGCATCTAAATGCACATATTAGATCATGAAATGGACATATTAGCACCTAAAATGTACATATTAGGACCTAAAATGTGCATATTACCACCTACAATGTACATATTAGCACCTAAAATGTACATATTAACACTTAAAATGTACAAATTAGTACCTAAAATGTACATATTACCACCTAAAATGTACATATTATGACCTAAAATGGACATATTAGCTTCTGAAATGGACATATTAGCACCTAAAATGTACATATTAACACTTAAAATGTACATATTAACACCTAAAATGTACATATTAACACCTAAAATGTACATATTAGATCATGAAATTGACATATTAGCACCTAAAATGTACATATTAGGACCTAGAAATTGACATATGACATTAGCACCTAAAATACTTAAAAGGTAAATAGCACCTAAAATGTAACTATTATCTAAAATGTACATATTAACACCTAAAATGTACTCATGTAAAATGTAAAATTAGCTCATGAAATGGACATATTAGCACCTACAATGGACAAAAGTTTAACTTTTGAAAAGGTACAGCCCCAGTGACAGCTTTTGTACCTTTTTTCTGAGAGTCTACATGTCCATTTCAGGCAAGAGACAGTATTGGTCTCCTCTCAGTCTTATAGGCCTAGCAAAAATGCATAAGCTACACACGTACATTACCTGTCCAAAGTTTGGACACACTTATTTACTTCTTGTCAAGTCAAGTCAAATTTTATTTCTATAGCACATTTGAAAACAACATAGTTGTGCCAAAGGATTACAAAATGCAATTTAAAAGCATTGAAATAGACAAGGCAAAAGACAGTTTTATACATATTACACCTGATATAATTCATTTAATAAATTCATATACAATCAGTCAAGCAGTTTATTTAAAAGCGCTAGAGAATATGAGCTGATTTAAAACTGGATACTGTATAATTCTACTATGACTGTTTTCCACATTTTAGAAAGTAATTTAAACCATAAAATAACACAAACTGAAATTTCAAAGAAAACAACAACATTTTTTAGACGTTTTTAAAAGTCTTTAAAACTGATTTCAATCACTTAAAATCATGAGAAACATTTCTTTTGAGCAGTCGTATAGACAACCAAATTGCCCTTGCAAAATGGAACAAATTGTCTGAAAAAAAGGTCTGTTATATAAATTTTCATTTCTATATCTTTTGTAGATAATTGCTATGTAATTGCTAGCAAATTGCATGTGTTTGCTTCTCTGTGATGTATTATCTTTTATGCTGGGCTCCTGTTTTCCTTTATTTTCTGCTTTTCTCTGCCTATTGTCCTTGAATTCACATTATGAGTGGAGCATGTAAAAGGAAGCATGATATAATTGTATATGATTTACAGCAGTCTATTGTTCATTATATATGTTTAGTGTATGAAAAGGCCTTTCTGAAAGTTATTCGTTTAACTTCGGCAATTTGATTATCTTTATATCTTCTTTGATGTTTTGAATGGCTTCATATGTCATGATAGTCAGCTTTGCATTCTGGTGTGTGATTTATTTACATGGGTCAGACTGCCCTTCTTAGAAACTATGTGCTAAGATGGATCGTATATATTCAAAGTTATTTCTCTCCTCACATTTCTAGCAGTTAAACAAATTTAATATCCAATGCCAATTTAGATGCATTCCACAATCCCTGGGACTTTGGATGTCTTGTGAATGGTGTTGTTCTTGTAAATACTGTTATCGTAAATGTTGTTTTGCTTTTAATACAGTCTTATTCAGATTTGTTTCTTGAGTGTTTTGCACTTTAACTTGATTAGTAAGTAACTGCTGTTGTTTGTAGTCTCAAAGAGATTGTGCTTTATGAAAATCTCTGTTGACTATTATTCGGATTTTGGCTTGTGACAAACATTATGAAACATTTTCATATGCTTTTAGATGTCTTTTAAGATTAAAGCCTTACTGAATTGTCTTCTAGATCGTGCTTGTTTGGATCTTGTTCATTGTGGATGTGACCATTTTTACTTTGGCTTTGCAAAACTGTATAAAGATGCATCAGAAGGCTGGGAAAACATATGACTTGCAGACAAATAATAATAATATATCAGGGACTAATTTCATATTTTTAGTGTACACTCTAATTTTGATTATACATTGAAACAGCTTTAAACAAATCAACAACAGAAGAACAAATGTGACTCACAGTCGCAACTCAAATAATTGAAGGTGCTTTTGGCACACTTAAATCATAAAGATTGTAATGTCTTAAGATTGCTGCAGTGGGTTTAATTTTTGTTCTGTGCAGCAGTCAGGGGTCTGCTTTAACACTCTCATAGGGTGACAAGCTCTCGCAGAGGCAAGAAATCAGAATCATTCAAGTTCATTTTCAGGTGTGGAAAGAAAATTGAGCAAGTGTTTGACGAGACTGACTTTTTTGATTCAAGCTAAATATTGGTGCTTCTTAAAGTGAAACTCATTATTGTTCATTTGACTTATTAGTATTTGTGTAAATTAGAGATTTCACTTTAAAGGAGTAGTTCACTTAAAAAAAAAAAACTTTTGCTGATAATTTACTCAACCCCATGTCATCCAAGATGTCCATGTCTTTCTTTCTTCAGTCAAAATGAAATTAAGGTTTTTGATGAAAACATTACAGGATTTTATCCATATAATGGACTTCATTGGGAACCAAACGGCTCAAGGTCCAAAAGACAGTTTCAGTGCAGCTTCAAAGGGCTCTAAACGACACCAGACGATGAATAAGGGTCTTATCTAGGACCCTTCGAGTCATGACTTGAAAAAAGATTTGTTCATTTTGATGAACGAGTTTGAACAGGAGAGTCATGAACGCTCATCACAGAACAGAGCAAGGCGAGCATTTGTGCTTATAAAACTTCAACTTTTATTTATTTTTGAAATGACCGATGGTTTCGCTAGATAAGACCCTTATTCATCGTCGGGTGTCGTTTAAAGCCCATTGAAGCTGCACTGAAACTCTCATTTGGACCTTGAACTGTTTGGTTCCCATTGAAGTCCATTATATGGAGAAAATCCTGGAATGTTTTCATCAAAAACCTTAATTTCTTTTCGACTGAAGAAAGAAAGACGTGGGCATCTTGGATGACATGGGGGTGAGTAAATTATCAGCAATGGTTTTTTTTAAAAAAAAGTGAACTACTCCTTTAAGTCCAGGCTGGTCTGAAAGGACAGATTTCCAAACTACTGCATCCCAAACAGATGTAAATGTTTTTGTTGAATTCTTTACAACCTATAAATGATGTTTTGTTGGCGTGATTTTTTTTTTCCCATCTCTTAGAGATGAATATTTGAGTCAAGTAATAGCACTCAAGCTCTCACTGAATAATTTTGAATTTCAGTTGGAGCCAGTCTGTTTTTGTGGCCTCCTCCAGAAGTAGTTGATTAGTCCACCCCATCATCCATTCACATCCCCATCAGAGCCTAGCAGACCACACAGGGCTGAAATTAATGTTCCTTTGGTGTGGCCTCATGGCTCAGTCCATAAACGCAGTGTTTTTTCATCATGACATGTTTCACTTAAATGCAGCCTATTGATAGTGCCTATCAATTGCATAAGGTATTATGCAACCATATGCAGCACACTTCCCCATAATTATCAATTCTATTCAATTCACATTTATTTGTATAGCGCGTTTCACAATACGTGTCGTTTTAAAGCATGTTTCTACATTACAAGAGTAATCCGTTATCAGAGGTGACTGTCCATGTCAAAAATGTATTGTTCTAAAATAATACAAATCATGCAGTTAGCTAATTATCATGCATTCATTTAGGCAGAAACAAGGATCTCATTACAGCAATTTTTACAAGTTGTAATTATAAAGATTACAAGAAAATGTGGCAGTAATGAATATTGATTCAGAGTTGGCATCATCTAAAGGCCTTGCAGGGGATGGCTCCTCGCTTTACAGGTGTTGGGGGATCTGAAGTATGGATCCAAACTGGAGCTGGCGTACTCTCTATCCCGAGGTAGAGACAGAATAGCAAATAGGACATAATAAGTGTAGCTCCTGTTCATAGTCATGTGCATTTCATCTGATATAACTGAAGAAAGTGCATTATGCTTAGCTAAAGAGATGTGTCTTTGGTCTGGTTTTAAACTGGGAGAGTGTGTCTGAGCCTTGAACATTAGAGAAGTGCTAAGCTGGAAGTGATCGTCACTCATTGTTTACACAGAGATTTCGGAAGTTTTCTCCTAAATTTCTTCGGAAGTCTTCTCCTATAATGTTTAATAAGGTTGATGAACATATGGCAAGAGATCTGAGACCATTCCTCCATACAGAAACTCTCCGGATCCTTCAGATGCTTGTGGACTCTTCTTCAGCTCATCCCACAGGTTTGGGTCTGGGGATGCTATGCCCATGACAAAACCTTCATTCTGTGGTAAGTGAACTATTCTGTTGTTTATTTCGAGATGTGCTTTGGATCATTGTTAGTTTCAGCTTCCTGACAGGGTCAGCCTGGTTTTGATTTAATATATTTGTACTTGATCATACTGTGTATCCTAACATGTTGTACATGGTCTTTGAAAAAAAAAAAAAAAAAAAAAAAGCTACACAGTATCTAAGATCCACCACCATACTTCACATTGGGGATCGGGTACTTTTTCCACTTAATTATGTTTTGTTTTATGCCAAACCAATCTCTGGTGTTTTCCAAAAACAGTCACAGTCTCATAAGTAACCAGTAACGCCTGGCAAACTGTAGGTCCATGAGATTGCTGTTTGATGTCACCAAAGGCTTTTTTTTATTGCAACTTTTCCAAACAAGTTGTGGTTTTATAGGTGGTCTGATCATAGTTTTGGAGACTTTCTGACCCCAAGACCCAACTGGCATTTGCAATTCTCCAACTTTGAACCTTGTAGTTTGTTTGGTGACTCAAGGCATCCTCAGTGTGTGGGGCCAAAGACACACGTCCTCTTCCAGGTATGTCATCACCAGTTGATTTAAACTTCTTAACTATTGCTCAGATAGTGGTAATGAGTATTCCAACAATTAAACAATTATCTTTTATCCACTTCATAATTTGGCCCATTTTCTTGACAGGTTGTCATTGTTTACAATGTATTAACTGTAAATATCTAAGGCAACTGGACTGTAAAGATGCAGCAAATAAGCAACAGAATAAATTATACGCCCAAAACCAGTTCAAAGATGTGTCTTTTTTTAAAAGTATACTCAGTCATTTCATTCCTCCAGCATGCTATAGTAATAAAGTTAACTGTGGCCCGGAGCACTTTGTTATATCCACTTCTACGGTAAATCTCTGCTTTGTTGTCATGACAATCCGTCTCTACACTGAATGCGTCTTATTCTTATGGGGAACTCTTATATAACACTCAATGATAGTAACTATAGAACAAGCCATAATGTATCTTTTTAAAAAGTCCTTAAACTGCTTCTGGTGCTCATAGATTGTGCAGTTAAACACAATTCAAATGTCAATCACAATAGTTTATTGTGAGAAACAACTGTGTGTGTGTGTGTGTGTGCACACACTAAGTGGGAGTACTATACCTCTCACAGCTGAATTGAGTGGGTGAATATTGGCTGTCAAACTGGAGTGCAAAAAAGTTCATAGTAATGCTTGTTTTTTCAGTTTTAAAGTTTATGAAAGGTCCCTGAGACCAAAAGACTGGTGTAAAGACACTTCTGATTGGTCAAGGGGCGTTCTCATGCTGCTTGTGCTGTTGGGCCACAAACTGAGCCTTCTGTATTGCCAGCTGAGTGTCCTCCTCGCTGATGCCCAGATGCCACACAGCCCTGACTGTCCCCCCAACATGGGGAAACATCAGAACCCGGACCCCTTGTCCCAGAGCCTTCACCTCTTCTTCATCTACACCTGCCATCCGTTCGCAGAACTCTGCTGGGCTCATCTGGCGGTCCCGCAGACAGAACCTCAAAATGTTGCTTTCCACAGTGCTCAGATCCACCCGGTACAGAGAAGGGTCACACTCTACCAGCGCTACAAAAGAGAAGGTGAGAGATGTTACATTAGACCTTTGAAATAGAACTGTGGATATTTAAACCTATATTGTAGGTTGTCTACAAACCAGAAGGTTGGTGGTTCAATCCCCGGTTCCACCTGACCAAGTGTCGAGGTGTCCATGAGCAAGACACCTAACCACAGCTGCTCCCGACGAGCTAGATGGTGCCTTGTATGGCTGACACCACCGTCAGTGCAGACTGATCTCATGAAATGGCGTATGTATGACACGGCAATTTCGTATTTGCATTTTTGGTATGCTATCAACACGCATAATCGCTTTTCAGTGTGTGTATATGAACGCCGTTGACTTAACGTTACATTACTGTATGAATATATGACCTACCCCAACCCCGTCCCTAGGTACCCGTCACTGGGGTTAATAGCATTTATGAGTCTTCCCCTACCATTTTAGGAAAAAAAATATCACTCTCCAGATGTAGATCTACATTTTGCCTTGTTTAGCTCGGACATTTAATGGCGTCTACATACACGCGGAATCACTCTGACATTTAACGGCGTAGACATACACGCGGGTAGCTCAAAATGCGTAGAGATAACACAGTGTATGTTTACGCAAAAGTCATGATGTCATGTTGGTCGGTGTATGAATGAGTGAGTGAATGTGAGGCAAATGTAAAGCCATTGGGTCTGTGAACGCGCTATATACAGTAAATGCAGTTCATTTACCATTTAAACTGGACCCAGTCCATGGAATTTCATTCAATTTTAAATAGCACTTTTCAAGGCGCTGAATGGGAACTGAAATGTTCAAGCTTCAAAAAGGACACAACAGCACCATAGAAGTATCATGTGTTTGGTCCATGTGACTGGTGCACTATATTCCAAGACTTCTGGAGTCATACAGTCACTTTGTGTGAAGAACAAACCGTCATTTAGGTCATTATTCATTAATGTAATTTTAATTGTAACTGCTGCATTGTAACTGCTTGAGTCAGTGAGTTGAACTCAAGGACCGATTTAATAATAAATAATGAAAACTTTTTTTTTTTTTGCCTTTTGGAGCTTGACAGCCTAGACAGAATAACTGCCGAAATGACTTTTAGTTTTGAGTGAAATATTCCGGTGAATTTTTATTTATTTATTCTAACCAGTTCTGCCATTTTGATGCTTTTAGTTTCTGCTTTTTCAGTCAGACAGGTTTAGTATGCATTATTGCCAAATGAGAATGAGCATAATTAGATGACATACAAAACGGTGCTGCCATTAACTCATTTCAGCTACTGCGAATTAGAGTATGTTATACGCCTAATATATTCCTTCTGATTCATTTATAATAATTATGGTCCAAAAATATTTCATGAAAGCTACTCACGCTCAAGCTAACTGTTGTTAGTAAAGCATCATGTGTACAGTGCCTGTGTAGCGTCACGCTGAGGGTTCAGGGAAGTCTATGGGGTTCTGTCACCTTGAGCAAAGCGTCTGGCGTTCCTGTGGTCCTCCTCCAGTCTGCCAATCATGTCTGACAGGGCAATCTTACCAGCTGCTGCCAAGACACCTGATTGGCGCATTCCTCCGCCAAGTGTCTTGCGGGCACGCACTGCTCTCTGTATGAAATCTTTCGACCCACCTAGCATGGTGCCCACAGGTGCCCCGAGTCCCTGCCAAAGAGCAAGTCAGATCAAATGAGCCTTTTGTTTCTGCATTGTGTGAGATTTCCAGCTCTTTGCATGAAATGGCATAGATAAGGATAGAGAAAACTAAACTGGGAACTGGGATGAAATGTCTGGAATGCGACCCTGACCACCTCCTGATCCGATTCAAATCCGTCTCGGAGGGTATTTATAAAACAGATAGCTATCTGATCTGAGAAAACGCACGGAATACAGATAGTTGCTTTTCCCCTTATGTCTGTAGTCAGATGTGATTTGACTTTCATATTGGTGATCTTTGTCTGTAAGCCTCAATTACATTTAACGTCTTTCAGCAAGAGGAAAGAGGAAAATTCGGTGACAGAGAGTAGCCTGTTTAGCTAGCTGCAAACAAGCTCTGTAATTAAAATGCAAATACGCTTGTTGAAATCTACTCCAAGGATTTTGTTGAGAGTGATTAGGTTTTACGTTTCAGTCAACTTGGTCTGAGTTGTGATGTTGAGTTCTTTTCAGGGGAGTAATGAGTGAGGACATTTCAAATCCTAGATGATACGATATGATTACAGGTGCGTTATCAGAGGAAAGTACCACACTTTGATGATATGACTTAAAAATAAGACTTGATTATCTGAACATTCGAGACACCTTCAGGGTGCAGGTCATAAACCATAGAGGCACTGACTTTAACAAGGTCATTTTCAATGCCTCTCACTTAAACTCATTTCCAGTTCTTTTTGGTGGAAACTCTGACTGCCTGGAGATGTTTTGTTCAAAATGACTAAAATAACTTTCCCAGAAAAACACTTCCCGGAGCATGAAAGCTACTGCAGGTCTTAATAAGTACATTTTTCCTATTATGAAAATATCACTATTATGTTCTAGGTGAATTTATCGCTGCAGTTGCTATACAGTTTCAATTTCCTAATTATATATATATATATATCCAGCATGATCCTTCAGAAATCTAATATGCTGATTTGGTGCTTAAGAAACATTTATTATTATTATTATTTTATCATAATATTTGCTTAATATATAATCATCTTTAAAATGCATTATATATGAAGAGTTCAGATGCAAAAGCTTCTAAGTGCCATTGAAATTTTCTTCTAGAATGATCATTTTTATCAAGACTTTATATTAAAGTTCAGTAATTTCACTCACAATAATTTCCCTGACAATTTCAATGGCAGTGAAGATTACCTATTAATTGTCATTTAAGTGAAATTACTGAACTTAAATATACAAGCTTGATACAAATGATCATTCTTGAAGAAAATTTCAAATGGCACTTTTGCATCTGAACTCTTCATATATATATATATAATGCATTTTAAAGTAATTGTAAATAATGGATAAAATATGTTTATTTTTAAAAATTATTAAAGTAATATATTGTTTAATAATTTTACTAAATCAACTCATTGTATGAAGACCCCTCCTATTAATATATAACTACCTTAATAGTAAACTTATATTGAGTACATTTCATGTAGCAGGGCTGAATGAACCAGAACAACTATATGAACTTCATGGTTATATAGGCTATATAAAAAAAATAAAGCCATGCAAGAATAAAATAAATATTATATATTATACTAAAGTGGACCCTAAACCTGTGATTGCTTACCTTGGACAGACACACACTGACAGAGTGGCAATGCTGCAGTATAACAGATGGCTGGACGGCAAGTGCCACAGCTGCATTCATCACCCTCGCTCCATCCATATGGACAGCCAAACCAAACTTATCAGCTACGGAGCGAAGCTTTGAGCAAGAGACACAGTTATAGACATACATTCAGTCACAGTGCAAAGTAATTCAATCAATGAACAAAGGTGTAATATGTGGATCATTTGTCAAATCTAAAGCAGAACCTGTTCGTGCCAGAGTGCTGAACAAATCAGTCTTTGTTTAATCACTGATTTACTAAATGGAGCGATTGTGTCCTATTGTTCAGAGTTCAGCCCCAGGTGTCTGGCTGCCTCATCATGTTGCCTCTCTCTCTCTCAGACACATGTTTAATGAACTTAAGTTTAACTAATATCTAACCTCCTGCAGGAAGGAGAGTGGGAGGACGCGCCCTCCCTGAATATTGTGCGTGTTTTCCACACAAACCAGGCGGGATCGTGGGTAGTGTGGGTCAGGGTAACCGTGACGGATCTTGGAGATCAGCTGGTCTAGGTCAAAGGTGCCATCGCCAAGGGTGGTGACTGTTGCAGAATGGACGCCTGCTAGCTGTGAACATAAAAAACAACACATATTTTTCATCCTATTGATAATGTGCTACATGGATTCAACTATGTGCACTTTTGTCAAAAAATAAGCTCTCTTAAAGCACACTTTTCATACCCTGAATAGTTAATTAATTCCTGGCATATGAAACAGTAGTCAGAAAAATCTATTTTTTTAATGGAAGTTTATTAAACCGTTCTTGAAATCTACAAAAAAAAAATGTGTGTGTTTTTTTGGTTGAGTATTATATTTGATAATGTTTTGTATGGCTCATATAGTATGACATCAGTAGAATATGGAGCTCATACTTGACAGTAAAAAAAGCTAAATTTGATTAAATATGATATTTATATGGCCAAAAAAATACTATAAGATTAAATTATTTGTTTGTCCATCTATATCTCCCAATAATATGTCTTGGTAAGATTTCATTTGACTGCATAGTTTTATGATCAAAGCTCTTAAGTTTTTTATTGTGGGCGGAAAAACATATGCAATGCAATACAACGTCTAATTGTATCATATTTGATACTCACATTTTTACACGGTAAGTGACTTTCAGTAAACAATCTTGCTAATCACAAACATCAGAGTGGTAGTGTAGATGCATCATATAATTTATTTATTTTTTTCTAAACCATCATGATAATTTCCACCACATCTCAAATTATCATTGTGTTTAATAGCATTCTGTAGTAGAAATAACATGGAATAAAATAGCCGACTGCTTTATGAATATGTGACACAAATCACGCAGATTGCATAGATTACTTAATTAAATTTGAATTGATGTAGGATACCAAGAATATTAAATACAATTCTGAGAAAAAGAAGATGTAATCCTAAGTAGGAGACAAATATATCCCCCATTTGATCATACCTGTGCACTTCCTCCTTGCTCATAAACATGAATATGAGAGAGATCTCCGACTATCATCTCATCATCCCTCTCTCTGCAGTGAACCATAACTGAGAGAGAAAGAAAGAAAGAAAAAACATGAGGGGAACATATGTGTACATTAGTGCAGCATCTGGTGGTCACTAACAAGAACAAAATTCCTTGAATAGTGAGTTATTTATGTGTGCTAAAGCACCAAATCAGATTTTATTAGCCAGAGGTGTCTTTTAGGCAGTCACGCCAACCACAGCCACTGCAAAATACGTGTGCAGTTTACCTATAAGCTTTTACCATGTGACAACTGTAAACAAGTTATATTAATAGCCCTGGGCACTATCCTGCAATCTCACCTGCAATCAGGTTACTCATCGTTCCTGTGGGGACATATAGAGCCGCTTCCATGCCAAACATATCAGCAGCTATTTTCTGCAGTTCTATAGAAAGAATGGGAAACAATGCTGATCTAAATTTTAACATATGTAAAAAGTCTGGACACACATACTAATTCTTTAATATAGAATTCATTGTAAAGTGAACATAATTATGAAAAAAATGTAAGCCTTTTTTTTTTTAAAGATTTACAAATTTCAATTCTATAGTTAAATTCCATCAAATTGAATTGAATAATTCTTACATATTATTCATATAAAAAAGAAAAAAGAAACAATGTTGAAATTTATAAACACGAATCCCATAAACTAATTAATTCCTTGTTTCATTCAGATTTGTTCAAAATGTTAAGCTATTTTGTCAATAATGTTTTTTTTTATTCATTCTATACTGTATGTAAGGATTATTCAATTTAATTTGATGGAATTTTACAATACAACTGAAATTTGTAAACCATAAAAGGTTTACATTTTGAGTGTATTGAAGTATGGAAATTGGAAAAAATAAAATGATTAAATAAAATCTAAACAATCTTATATTATCCTCAAAACAGACTCCCATTGGTTATGATAGATTTTCACATTCTCTCCACAAACTTCATGAGGTGAAACCTGTCTTCTTTAGCTCCTTTCGCTCTCGTCCATTTAAAGCAATTATAATAATAACATGTTCATTTTTTAATG